TTTTTCTTCTTTCAAGTATCAGTGGACAACCAAAACTTAATTTCAAAGAAATAAAAACAGCAATATATATAAATAAAATTCCTAAGGCAAACAGAAAAAAAATGTCACCATGTGAAACAATGTCTGGATCAGAAGAGACCTTAAAATGCCTCTTTAGTTTTTTCAGAGGAATGAAAATGTATTGCCTCTGTAAAGCAAGAACAGAATAATTTTTAAAAATCAGCAAGAGAGAGTTCTTGGAAATTAAAATGTTTGCACAAATTAAAAAAAATAACTTGGATGATTTAGAAGGTAAATTGAGTAAATCTCTTTGAAAATAGTACAGAAAGAAAAAGGGTGTGTCTATTATTTAACCAGTGGAAGTTTCAAAAAGAGTAAACAGTTATCAAAAAGGTAACATCACATTTCTGGTACTTAAAGATACAAGTTTCCAGATTAAAAGGAAGAGGGAGAGAAAAGGGCAATCAGTGAAAAAGACCTATCTCTAGGCACATCATTGTGAAATTTCAGTATACTAGGAGGGAAAAGCCTAAAAGCTCCTGAAGGAGGAAAAAAGATAACTTATAAAGGAATGAGAAACAGATGAGCATAACTACAGTATAAACTCCATAAGGGCAGGCATTTTTTTGTTCTCATTATTGTTACATAGTGAGAGCTCAAAAAAAAAAAAAAAATGCTGATTAAAAGAATGACTACCACATCTCACAAGCACCTCTGAGGGTTTAGAAGAGTGGAACAGTGCCTCCAGAGTTCTGAGAGAAAATGACTTAGAATTCAGAACCTCTGAAAACTATCAAGTATGAGGACAAAGCAAAAGCATTCTCAGGTATGCCAGGACTCGGAACATTTACCTCTTAACCCGAATACTCTTTCTGGAGAAGGTATTTGAGGATATGAACTAGTAAAATGATAATGAAAACTAATAAAGATGATGGTGTAGGCTACTAGAAATGGTGGGTTAACTCCTGAGTACAGTAAAAGTAATTCCAGGATGACAGCTGTGCAACAGGTCTAGAAAGTACTTGGATTAAGTTAGAATAGGAAATCTCTGGTCTCCATGAAAAATACTGTAAGGGGAAGAATGGAATGGAATTTAGGTTGTAGATAGAATGACTTAAACTGGTGATGACTTAAACTGTAGATATCGGTGATGATAAGAGGGATGCATTTTGCTTTCAATTAGGGAAAAAAAAGGACAATTAGTAATTCTAAGGAGAAAATCCTGCATAACCAACCTGTAGTTGCATATTTTCACCATTTAAAATGAGGTGTTAATTAAATCTTCATCTTTCATAGTCTAAAATTGCTAATTCAAGAAATTTATAAGCATAAAAGTAGAAGCCATTAAAATAGTTGTCCCAGGGATCAGGACTTGGATTTTGGGGTAGTGGATATTTCCTTTCTTTAAAAAATGTTTTTATTGATATTTTGGAGAGGAAAGGAGAGTGAGAGAGAGATAGAAACATCAATGAGAGAGAAACATCAGTGGGCTGCCTCCTGCACTCCCCCTACTGGGGATGGAGCCCAAAACCCGGGCATGTGCCCTGATCAGGAATCAAACTGGCGACCTTTTTGGATGATGCTGAGCCAACTGAACCACACTGGCCAGGCAACATTTCCTTTATTTATTTATTTTTTAAAACTACATGCATATATTTGGGGTGGGAAGAGTGCTGATGCATGAGACGAGTGGCAGGTAATGTTTTGTGGATTCTTACCCTTTGCAATGAAAACTTAAGTGGCACCTCTGACTTAGATGATTGAGCTACTTCTGTTATATACATATAAATGAAATAACCTTCATCTATAAATCAACTTTTAAATATATTATTGGAATTAAAACTGACAAGGAACATGAATCAGAATTTACTGAGCATTTCGTATATTTGAATTGTAAATATAATTGTTGATATTTATTGAGTGCTTATTGTGTGATAGTGATTGAATTATCTCATTGAATCATTACAACANCGTATATTTGAATTGTAAATATAATTGTTGATATTTGGTGCTTATTGTGTGATAGTGATTGAATTATCTCATTGAATCATTACAACAATTCTCTAAAGTTACCATGTTATTCCTGTTTTATAAATGAGAAAATTGAAATTCAAATTTAGACTGAGAAGTTGGGTGACTTCTCCAGATTTACATAGCCAATAACTGGTGGAGTCATTTAATTGCTCTAGTCCATCCTTTTTTTCTAGACAATTTTTAAATGTGTAAATATTTTCTTTCATGACTGCAGGCCAATTTACATATTTTTTTAAATATTAGTGTTTGTCAGAATAGCTGATTTCAGATCCAATAACTAATTATAACAAAGAATGAGATCGATTGTCAGGCACTAAATACTAATTAGTTTTTAAAAGTATTATATGAGCACGGATTTAAACATATCTGATGTGTTTTAATCCTTTGCTGATATAATTCGTATTGATGGTGAATTTGTTCCATCTTTTGCTAGGATGAGCTCCTTCAAGTTGGCTCCTGAGCCCTTTTGACACTGTCTAGTGTCTGATAGCTTCCTTTCTGGTATAACCCCATTTCTGGATCTATAGATTTATCTTATATACTTTCTCCCTCAGAGGTGGAATAAGATATTTTACTGGGAGCATTATTTCCTTTTAAAGGGAAGTAGTATCTTGACACATCTGGGTGCTAGGAATATTCTTTGCAATTTGTCTCTTGTTTTAGGATTTTTCAATGAACAGAGCAAGGAAATAGTTTTTCTTAGTATAAAATCCATCATAAATTCATAATTACACTCCTGATTCAAATTTTGGACTACAGAGTTTTAAAAGCCCTTATTAGCTTATATTTGTTTCTTCCTATGTTGAAAAAAATGCACTTTTTTTTGTTGGTAGGATATATCTAACTAGGAATATAAAATCAAATCATTATTTTAAAATCATTTGAACTGGCTAATGTGTGTGGTTTTGCCACAAACTGTATATCTAGTTAGATTGATTTATTTCATTTTCTTTATAGGAATTGTTTTTAAAATCTAATTTTTAAAAATTATAATTTCCATATATAAGTCTACAAGTCTAGCTCCTATCCCTGCCCTAAACTTTGCTTCCTCTGTTCCCCCAAAGCTGTTTGTTTAATCAGCTAGCCAGCAGTAAATGTGGCTTTTAAATTAATTAAAATTCAAGTAATTAAAAATTTGTTTCTCAGTCTCACTTGCCACATTTTAAGTGTTGAATAGCTACATGTGGCCATCTTCTATATTGGTCAGCACAGATTATAGAATGTTTCCATTCTTGCTGAAGTTCTGTTGGACAGCCCTGCCCTAGAAACCCCTCCCTTTTTAAAATTAGGTGTTTAACTTATTCTATTGTTAAAAATATAAAAAATTAGGTGTATATATTTATAACCCTCTTTGATAAATGGAAATATACATACTTTTCTCCACCTTTTTATTAATATATCCCAAAGATCACCCCAGACTGCAGAGAATATCAGAGATAGCCCTCATTCCTTTGAAGCTTTCTAGGACCACTTGATGGTCTGGGTGTGTAGGTGTATGTAGCAGTTCCTCAGGGATGGTCGTTCTGATTGTTTTAGGTCTTAACCACTGCAGTGGTGCTGCAGTGAACAGTAGTAGTGCTGTTTAGTGTACGCCTTATTTCATATGTTACTAGAACCACTATACTTTCAACACTAATTTCATCTATGTGATTTTTGTTTCTCCTAATAAAAATATTCTAATTATAAAAATAATCTGATTTCATTTTATTAAAAAATAAAAATATATTGAGAGATGAAATCACCTAAAATTCATGTTGCCCAGACAGACAATATTTTGGTGATACGTACCCTTTGCTTAGCAAATTTTTTTCAGTTCCTGAGTTAAGATCGTATACTCACTATGTTCAGTATTTTTTCAATGAATGTGTGTAGTTGAGATCCCATTGTATATGCCCATTTGAATTTTTCTTTACCACGAGAGTATAAACCTTTTCGTTGTTAACACATTTTGTAAACATTTCTAACAGTTGCATGATATTATGCTGTATTGATTTTTACACTATTGCTCTTAATTATTCCACAATGGTTAGACATTAGGTTGCTTTTTTTTTTTTTTAATCCTTACCTGAGGATATGTTTTTATTGATTTGAGAGAGAGAGAGAGGAAGGGAGGGAGAGAGAAAAACATCAGTGTGAGAGAAACATCAATTGATTACCTCCTGTACTTGTCCCGACTGGGAATCGAACCCACAACCTTTTGGTGCATAGGATGATGCTCCAACCAACTGAAAAACCTGGCCAGGGCCTTCTTTTTTTTCATATGTACTTCATTAAACACTTGCACATAACTTTTCCCCTATTTTTAGGGTTATCATCTTGGTATCCGAGAATAGAATTATTGGATCAAAGATTAAAAGCATAATTAAAGTTCAATCCATCTTGCCAACATTTTTTCCAAAAATTCTGTGGCCTTTTTTTTTTTTTTTTTAATATATCTTTATTGATTTCAGAGAGAGGAAGGGAGAGGGAGAGAGAGAGATAGAAACATCAATGATGAGAGTCATCCATCGGCTGCCTGCTGCAATTCTCCCACCGGGGATAGGCATGTGCCCTGACAGGGAATTGAACCCCGACCTCTCGGATTATAGGTCGATGCTCAACCGCTGAGCCATGCCCTGTGGGGCTGTGGCTCCTTTCTTGATAGCCATTCTGGCAGCATGGAGTGTTGTTTTGAAAAATCTTTGATAATTTGATAGGCTTAAAATGGTGTTTGAGGTTGAGTATTTTTATGTGCCTATCATTTGTATTGCCTGCTATGGATCTTAACATGTATTTGCCCATTTAACTTTTGGCCGCCTATTTTTCTAGTGGGTGGTATGAGGTATTTATTTATGTGTTAAGGATGGTAACCATTTTTCTGTCATGTTGCAGATGTTTTTCATTAAGTGTTTTAATTTGATTAACATTTACATACATACTTTAGTTTTACATTTTTATGTAGTCTTAAATATTTTTCCTTGTTCTTATTAGCAGGCTTGTTCCTTACCACCCCACCCCCAAAAGAGATAAAAACTGGTTATTTGATCATTATTCACCTGTTAAAAATCAGCATTTGTATTATAAATTTTAATAATCAAAGGGGTCAAATACAGTAAACATTCATTCAGAAACAATTATGTCAGGCACTTTACATGTTCTCTCTCTCGGCTATGACAGTCTGTCTTTTCTCCAAATACTGTAAATAGCTATGTGTGAAAATATAGATGAATTAAATTATAGCTTCTTTTAAAAACTGTAAGTAGTATGTTATTTTGCTTTTAGTATCTTTCATTGTAGTTAACTGTAGAAATCTATTTCACGAAATGTGATGAGTTTCCTTCCCCCTTCCTTAATTGTAGGGGAAAAAGTGTTTCTTCTGGTTGCTAATGTGAATTGTGGACTACAGATACACAGAGAAAACAGATTGTATAAACACAAATATTTTCACCAGGATCTAAAGACTTAAGCTCTTCAGGCTTGTCTGGATTTTTCTGGAAAAAAGAATCTGTGAAATTATGTGAATAGTGACTTCTTTCAAAACCATGGGGGAAAGAGAAAGAAGTCCAGATACTGACCAAGAAAGTAAGGCAGACAAACAGCATTACTGTTATTGTTCATCTGATTTTGAAACTACACCACATTCTTCTGGCCGGTCATCGCTGGTCAATCCCTCCTTACCTACAAGTATTAAGGAAAAAAATGCTAAAAAACAAATTTCAGATAGCCAAGTGCATCACCAAGGTAAGCACTTAGACCTAGAAGACTCATTTTGAATTCTTAAGGAAAGCATGAATGAATGAAACTCTTCTGTTTGTATGTACTGTATATTAGTGTATGCATGGAAATGGACTGATTTACATTTTGAATTGAATATATTTTTATAAATTTATATAAATGTTGCTCATGGCACTGCATATTAGCCTTTGTTATATTCAGAGTCATACTATATACAGAAGAAAGAACCATAGTTAAGGCTCCTCATTTTGTTTTCTTTCTAAATAAGTACTTATTTTGCAGTTTTGGGAGTACTGTAAAAGCAAAACAATCAAATGTTTATATCTTTCTTTGTCTTAATTTTTGAAAAGTAGTGAAAGGCATTTATATTCAGTGGTTAAGGGGCATTTCGTTTAGAATAACATTACTTCCCTTAGGGGTAATGCAGTGCTGACTGCAAAAGTTCAGATTAAACCCAGAAATAGAATTTGGGACTTGAGATCACCAGTCTGTTTTCTATTAAACTATGTCATAATGGAAACAAGATCAATAAGAAAAATTATTTCTAATTATTAAAGTATTACTAATCTGGAACTGGTACTAGTATACATTTGACTAGGTAATATTCTAGAAACTTCTTTGTCTTAAGAAATCCCTGGTCAAAAAAACCCTCATGTGTACTTAGTAACAAAACATGTAAGGACTATAAGTACACCATTGAAAATGAGCTAAGTTTAATGAGGTGGTTATACTATGTGTTAATAAATGCGGCACAACTATAACAGCAGTAGCTTAGGATGATGAGAGTTTAGATTGTGAGGCATGGAGTGGCGAAATTGAAATCTGAAAAGCGAAATAGGCCAGGTCATGAAACACCTTGAATCCTGTGCTAATACAGTGATTGTTTCTGTGGGGAAATAGTTAACCATTGAAAAGATTTAAGCAGGGGTATAATTAAAATTGCCTGTATAAGTTACTTTGAAAAATAATGTTTGCTTTTTAAAAATCTACAAGAATATGTTCTTTTTGAAAGCAACCCTTTCATGGACCCCTGATCTAGCTTCCCAGGGACGTTCATACTTTTTAACAATCTGGTGCCCTTCCTTCCGACCCCCCCCCCACACACTTTTTGCAGTACAATGGTGCAGGATTTCGGTCTCTTCCTCCAACCTGTCTCAGTGTGAGCCTCTTGTTTTAATTTTGTGGTTGAGAGCATAATCTGATATTAGACTTTTGCTCTATGTAATTAAGAACAAATAGATCTTAGGGTTGAACTTTGGAAAATGCATATTTATTCCCAAGAAATAATTTACATACCTAGGGAATTATTGGTAGGAATACTTTGATTTTTCACTCCTTCCCAAGAGCAGCTTTGGAGGCCACCCAGTTAATGAGTCAGAACTTCTTAGGCCTTATCTTATTTGAGAAGATGATTGAGAAAAAGCTGTGAAAAACTGTAGAAACCTATTTCACGAAATGTGATGAGGTCTGACATCACCTGTAAAAATTTCAGTCATTGTCTTCACTCTGACTTGTACAGTTTGCTGCTTTGCATTGTCTTCTGAATTAAAATCTGTGGTAATTTGTCTACCTTAGATCAAGCAACAGGACTAAATTGATACCTTCCTTTAAACACTAAGTTAATTTCCCTTGATTTAAGTTGCAATCACCAGTGTAGACTAAATTAAGGAAAGAACAAATATGATTAAAACAGTATCTTGAACACTTGAATTTGTGGATTTGCATATTTGATAGCAATTATTTCTTCTTCCTTTTCATATTATCTAAAAAAATAAAATTGTGCTCTATGAGAAGTTATAAATAATGATAAAATTTAATAGTTTAGGTTATGCATGTTTCTATATTGCACACTCTATTTCTTTATCAGTAAAATAAACATTGAGTTTTTGGTAGACATAGTTTATCTTTATTACATGTTTTTTAAATGTTATATATATTTTTTTAATCCTGAAAGAAGGAAAAAAGCATTATTTTCTCACTTTTTTTCTTTTTAAATATATCTTTATTGATTTCAAAGAGAGGAAGGGAGAGAGACAGAAACATCAATGATGAGAGTCATTGATTGGCTGCCTCCTGTATGCCCCCCACTGGGGATCAAATCCATAACCCCGGCATGTGCCCTGACTGGGAATCGAACCTCAATCTCCTGGATCATAGGTCGATGCTCAACCTATGAGCCATGCCATCCGGGCTCACCCTCTTTTTGGTGGTGAGTTAAGGGGCAGATGAAGAATGGTATCCATGGCAGTCAGTCATATTTTATTAACACTACATTTCATCTTGATAGTTTTAAAAATGAAAATTAAGAAGGTAGATGAAATCTGGTAAATATTTTTGAGTTCAGGTTAAGTATACTTTTGTTAATCAGTTTGTAGTCATGCAAATAAAGTATACTAAAAGCAAGTGTTCAGATTTTTAAGATGTCAAAAAGCTGCTTTTGGGAGCCCTTTCTGTCTGACTGAATACCTGAATTAAAATAGTAGTAGAACATTTTTATGCTGATTCTTACATAGGCCTCAACTTTGAAATAAAACAGATTTCTATTGATAGGAAATCTTGTTTGCTTAGCAGTATAACTTTATACATAAAAATCAGAGATTTGGAATGATTAATGTTCATCTTTATGTATAACCATTTTTATATATAAAGTTTATGTCCTTCCAAGAGCTGAGTACATATTCCATAATAGCAATATAGATACCAAAACTTTCTTAACTCTGTATGTTGGAAAAGAAAGAAAATTGAAATGATGGACTCTCCAATTTAGGATTGAAGTATTGCTGTTCAATGGAAATAAAATTCAAGTCACACATATCTTTTTAGTAACCCACATTAAAAAGGTGAACTTAATTTTAATAATATATTTTATTTAACCCAACATATCCAAAATATCAATTTTAAATATCGTTAATATGAAACATTGTGTGTGAAATATTCTCCATTCTTTTCTAAGGCAGAAGTGTTTTAATTTCAGGGTGCATTTCACGGCTATGGCGTATTTCAGTTTGTACCACCCCTACTTCAAATTTCTTAGTAGTCAATGTAGCTAATTACTACAATATTGGATAGTATAGTTTGGAAGTTACAAGTAGGTTTTCCCTCCTTTTTATTACCACTTCCTTTGATATATTCAAGCATTATTAGAGTTGGAATCCCAAATCAGTATACATTCAGAACACCTTCTTTATAAAGTTTCATTAAAAAGATTATAATATTAAATTGTAAATACTATTGGTTAAATCTTTGCTTGTTTGCATAATGGAATCAGGGTATTTATGGCTGGTGAGATAGGTTGGATTTCCTAGTTTTGTGTGGGTTTTTTTTGTTGTTTTTTTTTTTACTCTGGAATGCATTTCCTTCTTGAAAAAAATACTCACCTTGGAGATTAAAGTTCATTATTCTTAACTGTGGCAGACATCCAGAAGCCTCTTTTAAAGAGCAGGTGTCCTCTATATGGAGGCCTAAGTTTAATGAATTTTTAGTAAAAATAACATTCCAGATTTTTGTGAAATATTGAGATTAATATGTTCACTTTAAGGATTTCAAATGCTTATATTTTTAGGATGTAGTATTTAGTTTTTATCTTGTTCTCAAATTATGTCAGATGTTTTTGATATGAACATCACGCAAAAGAAAGCCCCTGAGAAAGCATTTAGAATCACATCGGTACTGCTGAAGTGTTTTTCATTTTCAATCACTAATAAATGGGATTAAGTTCTTATTACTGACAGAGAATATTTGTGGAGAACTTTGTTTTACAAGCATACTTCATTTAATCTTCAAAACAGCATAATTATGTAGGTGGTATTATCCTCATTCTGTGGGTGGAGAAATAGACCTGCAAAGGTTTAGTTGAATTGACCAAGGAGTTATTAAGTGGTAAATCTTCTCACTGTACAACATGTTGTCATCCTGTTTCACCAAAGAAAGAAAAAGAGTTATAATTAATTTAGAAAAAAACTTACATTTCCACATGTCAAATATCTTGGCACAGGTGACTTGAATGTCACCATGTGTTTGTCCAGTGTTTATTGGGTATCATGCTAATGCTGATGATGCCCATGTTCGAATTCTGACTTGCCATTTTATTATAAAGTTACAAATGGTAAGTCCTGATACTGCCACCTTTTAAAGCAATGTAAAATAATTCCTTATAAACTATTGTTATGTCATTTTGATGGATCAGAATATTCTTGGCCTTTTTAAAAAGATTCCAAGCTTTTATTAATAGAAACATTATATTAAGAGCTCTAAATAAAGTCTGATATTTAAATATTATAAAATCATATTTTAAGGAACAGAATAACTGTTATGGGTCCACTTGTTAGAATGAAAAATAATACATTTGGTACAGCTTTCACTTTCCATTATTACTGTTTCTTTTTTAGCCTCTAGGAAACGAAGTCCTAAGCGTTCACCAAACAGAAAGGGAGTCCGAGTGGGATGTCGCTCCCAGAGCCTCAGTAGGGAGCCACCTCGGAAAGATACTGATCTCATTACAAAACGGGTTCTTTCTACAAGACTGCTAAAAATCAATGACTTGCAGAACGAAGTAACTGAACTCCAGGTCAAGTTAGCTGAGCAGCTAAAAGAAAATAAGGCTTTGAAAAGGCTTCAATACAGACAGGAGAAAGCCCTGAATAAGTTTGAAGATACAGAAAATGAAATCTCACAGCTTATTGCTCGTCATAACAATGAGATTACAGCACTCAAAGAACGCTTAAGAAAATCTCAAGAGAAAGAACGGACAACTGAGAAAAAGATGAAAGATACAGAATGTGAACTCTATAGGACAAAATTTTCCTTACAAAAACTGAAAAAGATCTCTGAAGCTAGACACCTACCTGAACGAGATGATTTGGCAAAGAAACTAGTCGCAGCAGAGTTAAAATTAGATGATACTGAGAGAAGAATTAAGGTAAAATTTCTACAGCTTCTAATTGTGCTCTTTTGTATTATTTTTCATTGGACATTTAATGTGCTCTATTAAGATTGCTTATTGCAGTTCATCATTTGCTTGGAAATGAAGACTATCTTTTTAGTATTTTCTTTCTCAGTTAAGAGATTGGGAAAACTTTAACATTTAAGAGAAAGATGCAAAAGATTAAGGGCCACATGTTAATGGATGAATGTTTAATTCTGTGGATCATAGTCATTTGGGGGAAATACACTGTTTGATTATCTGATTGTTTCTCTAAATTGAAAATACTATAATAGTTGTAGTGTATAAAACTGACATTTTGGGGCCATTGTATGAAAATTGCCACATGAACAATACTTTGTTTTCACTTTGAACATTTCTCAAAGACATCTTTTGGGCAGGTGTGCCCCTACTCCCCAAAATGAAAACTGATATGAAGCATAGGTGGAAGAATGTTGAGTTACTAGTCTGAGAATACAGCAGATCTTTAAAAGAAAAAAAAATTTTTTCTTGAAATGAGAGAGGAAAAGGGTACTACCCCATCACTGTTACACAGGGAACCTATATTAGATACTACCTGTTATAAATGTGTATCAAATGGAAGCCCTGAGTTAGGGCTTAGAATTGACATGTAGTTTGGAAAGCAAAGGTAAGGAAAAAGTCTGGAATGATGCCTGCTGAGAAGAATGTGTATTCTGCCGCTGTTGAATGGAATGTTATATCTTTTAAGTCCAGTTCTAAAGTGTGGTCCAATTCCAACATTTACTTATTGATTTTCTGCCTGGCCAGTCTTTCCATTGCTGATAGTGAGGCATTAAAGTCCCCTAGTATTATTGTATTGTCTTTTTCTCTATTAAGATTCATTAGTATTCGCTTAATATATTTCAGTGCTTGGGCATTTGGAGCACATATATTTATGATTGATTGTTACATCTTCTTGATGTTTTGACCCCTTTATCATTATGTAATGATCTTCTTTGCCTCTTGTTACCCTTTTTGGTTTGAAATCTGTTTTGTCTGATAGAAGGATGGCTGTCCCTGCCGTCTTTTGATTTCCATTTGCTTGGAATATCATATTCCATCCTTTCACTTTGAATCTCCACTCTTTCACTTGAGTCTGCATAAGTCTCCTGTTGGCAGCATCTAGTAGGGTCTTTTTTTTACCCATCCACCCCCTCTGTACCTTTCGATTGGTGAGTTCAATACACTTACTTTTAAGTTGATTATTGATATGTAAGAATTTACTACCACCATTTTACCTTTTTCCTTCTGGTTATATTGTCTTTCCATTGTTTCTTTCTCCATCTATTTCTGTCTACCTTTGTAAGTTTGGTGGTTTTCCACGGTGAATTTGTTCAGTCTCCTCCCTTTTTTTATGTTTCATATCTCTGGTCTAGATATTTGCTTTGTGGTTACCATGAGGTTTACCTAAAACATCCCAAAGATAAAACAGTCCTTTGTCTGCTGATAGCAATTTATTTTTATTCACTTGTAAATGTTCCATCTTTTTATCCTCCCCCTCTTATATTTTTGATGTCACAAATTCTTTTTATGCTGTGATTTTGTTACCAAGTTGTAGCTGTAGTTATTTTTAATGTCCTTTTCCTTTAAACTTTATGCTATAATTGTTTAATATTACTATTCTAAAAAAGTTAGTTTTATAATTCTGACTGTCACCTTAATCAAAGTTCTGTGTACTTTTGTTTTTTCATTTCAACCTGAAGAGCTCCTTTCAACATTTCTTGTAAGGTAGGTCTAGTGGTGGTGAATCCTCACAGCTGTTGTTTGGAAAAACCTTATTTCTCCTTCGTATCTGAAGGGTAACTTTGCTAGATAGAGTATTCTTGGCTGGCAGTTTTAGTCTTTCAATATTTTGAATATGTCCTTTCACTCTCCTCACCTAGAGAGTTTCTGCTCGCAATCGCCTAACGTGCATTCTCTTGTAGGTTAGTAGGGAGTCTTTTCCTCCCAACGGCTGCCTTTAAAATACATTTTCATTGACTTTTGATAGTTTTAATATAATGTGACTTGGAGAAAGTCTTTTTGTGTTGAGATAATATGCTGTTTTATTAGCTTCATGGACTTGAATGTACAATTCCTTTCTCGGGTTTGGGAATTTCTCAGCTATTAAGTCTTTAAATAAGTCTCTACTCTGTTTTCCCTCTCTTCTTTTGGTTTACCTGTTGATCTTATGTTGGCTCTTTTAATGCAGTCTGACAATTCCTGTGGGGTTTCTTCACTTTTAAAAACCTTACTTCTCTGTCCCATCTGACTTGCTTTGTTTCTTGCGCTTTGTAATGCATCCTTCATAGTTTATTCAGTTCTTCGGCTCCAGAATTTGTTTGGTTCCTTTAGAATTTCAGTGTCTTTGGTAAAGGACTTCTGTCCATTAATTTTATCCTGAAATCATTGGATTTCTTCATAACAATTATTTTGGATTCTTTATCAGTGAGATCACAGTTTTCCATATTTGGGGGTTTGGTTGCTAGAAAATTGTCATTTTCCTTTTGTGATATTGTTACCATAATTTTTCATTGTATCTGATGAAAAGTCTCTCTGCTGCTGCATTTGATGTAGTGAACACCTTTGATCACTTTGATTCTAACAGTTCAACAGGTCGTAATTAGGAGGCTTTCTTTTATTTAAAAAAAAAGCTAGAGGGGAGGTGTGTGGTTTTGGTGTGCCCAGGTAGAGGGATGGTCTGTGGGTGGATCTTTTGCCAGTATCCTGGAGCATCCAGAAGGAAACCTATTCCTTCATCTCTGTCTGCCTTCTTCCCTTTCTGTTTCCTCCACAAAGTGACTGTGGTCTCTTCTCAGATAGAGCAATGGGTTCCTGCAGCATGCACAGCAGGGTAGACCTTCCACTCACTACCTTCTCCCTTTACCTCCTCTGCAGCCTTTTCTGAGACCCAGTCCACCCATTTTTGGATGTACAGGCGGACAAATCTCTTGAGTATCTTGGTGTGCTGTGCAGAGAGGTACTTTTGTTCCATTATGAATGTCCCATTAGTTTTAAGTCAAAGGGGAGAAAAAAAGGAATGACTCAAGCCACCACGATGCTGACATTACCTAAAAGAAAATATTTTAACAAATTCTTTCATAAATTTCATGGAACATGTTGAAGGCCATGGAAATGTCTATTGTTTTATTTAGAAATATTTTATAAGGTAATCTCTGCACCTTGAATAGTGCTGTTTCATATCTATTTGCCCAAACAATGATTCTCAAAAGCCCATGTTTCTCGTCACATCCTTTAGCTGTCTTTTGCTCCTAACTTAAATGACTGTTCATGTACGTGTCAGACAAATGCTTAAGAAATTAATAGCTAAGTATTAAATTGTTGGTCAGCCTGTTTCACAGTTTATTTTGTTTACGAATACTAATCCCAGCTTGGTTTGTATGTCTTGTACAGTACTAGGGAAAAAAAGTCACTTTGATGCTAAGTGCAGTGTTTTACAGTTGAATTATTTTTGTTTATTTGTACACATATCATAGGAACTATCAAAAAACCTTGAACTGAGTAATAACAGCTTCCAACGACAGTTGCTTGCTGAAAGGAAAAGGGCATATGATGCTCATGATGAAAATAAAGTGCTTCAAAAGGAGATACAACAACTGTATTACAAATTAAAGGTAAACACTTTATTTCTCTCTATAATATCTATTAGATGAAAACTCAATATTTTACAACACTGTTACTTTTCATATTTGTAAATGGTACAATATCATTTATGAAATTCCAATATCATCTTTTGCACATATAAAGAAAAAGTTTGTTAATATCATCACTATAACACATGTTAAAAATGAAACATTGAATACACTAATAGGAATGATATAACTGAAATAAGTTATAAAATCCTGGATGAAGTTATTGGAAATAGTGTTTTTCTCTCACATGGTTGAATAATCCAGTGTTCTTCCTCAGGTAACCACATGCTTGATTATTTTTTAAGTTATTTTAAATAATGCTCTTAATTTTCAGTGTCTATAGGAAGCATTCAAATTAGTTAATTTTGTTAAAACAGGTGTTCTTTTAATTCTTTCCTGAGCTCATTGATGGGTTGAAATTTTGTGCAAAATTTAATGTTTATATATTACCTTGTATAGAATTTTTACTTTGTTAATCAAATTATGAGAGAAGGCTATAGTCCCAAAACACTTGTGTCAAGAGTGTTTTGTTTTTTTAAAAAAGCTCTAATTTTTAACTCATTAATAATTTATAAGTCACATTTGAGAGATGCTAACTAAATTCTTTGTCTCTGTTGCTAAGCCTGGAAGACAGTTTAGGACAATACTAGCTCTATCAGGTAGGAGTAGGTAGAAAATGAATTTTGCCTTATTTTCTCTCATTTTTTTGACTGCCATTATACAGAGTGTCCTCCCAAAATGTATACACACTTTAACAGCTGATAGCTCAATTTTGAAAATGAAGTGTATTTTAATAAACATTGCCTTTATCATTATTCAAAGTGTGTGTATACATTTTTGGGGACACCCTATATATTGAACTTTGTAGGGAGAATCATTGTTCTACCCTAACCTAAATGCCCTAGAGACATTCTTAAAAAGGGAAACTGAACTAGGTATTCGAGTTTGGTAAGTAAAGTACCAATTGACAAGGTGGTGATTTTTGTTTTGTTTGAGACTCTGTGTCCTTAATTATTGGGTTTGTTTTCAGGAAAAGGAGAGAGAACTGGATATAAAAAACATATATTCTAATCGTCTACCAAAGTCTTCTCCAAAGAAAGAAAAAGAACATACATCAAGAAAAAATGGTATAGTAGCTATTGTTGTTGGAAACACGTGGCAGCTATTACTAATAGCAAAATAAATTCTGAAATAGAAGGAAGGCAAAGGGGAAAGAACTTCATTGAAATAAGTTTGTTTCCTTTAAGCTACTGACTAACTTAATATTTAATATTAAATAGTTTTTCAACTTTGTCAAGTTTTTCTTGAGTTCACAACTTATATTTGACATAATTTATAAAAAGTTTTGCTTTATAAGCATACCCCAAACTAGATACTATATTATACTGTAATGAACCTACCTAGAACCTTTGTTTATATGTCACCTAGCTTTAACAGTTGTACATTTTACTAATTTTATTTTATCTATTTTTTTTACTTTCTTCCCAGAGTATTTTAAAGCTAAGTCCAGCTATTTTATTTCACTCATAAATACTCACTTTGGTATTGTTGTACAATATCTTTTTTTTAAAAAAACAAAAGTATAATTTCCCTCTTCTGTAAGTTACAAAAAAATTAAAAGCATAAACTTTGTAGAAGCTTAATAGGATTTACCTGTCAGAATTGTCCTCAGATTATAACGTAATTGCCAGTAAATCCTAGAAACAGAAATATTAATGTGAGTACTCATGGAGCTGAGCAAAATATGCATTATCTCATTTAGATAATAAATATATATACCAGCTGAATTCCATATATCTTAGCAATGTTTAATACAATTAGAAAAACTCTTTTATAATTTTCATGATAGCTGCTTGCCAGACTGATAATACATACCAGTGTACAAAAGGAGTACAAACCAGTGAAGACTTCAACATAGAAGAATTTCCTATTACACCACAAACAGTTATGTGTTATGAAAACAAATGGGAGCCTGAACGTCTGTCTTTGGTGAGTTTAGCAATATGATCAGGTGCCAAACTCCACGTGTGAAGTTATTCCTGCAACACAGTAGCAAACATTTTAAAATTTCAGCAGTGACGCTAATACTACATCTGTAACTATGCAACTAGCCTTTCAGAGAGACAGATAACATCTGTATATTTTTATTAAATTCCTTTGAATTGACTCTTAGTTCACGTTGCGTCTTTCACATGCTTCAGGGAGGTAGATTTACCTTCTGTGTAGGAGGTAGAAGGGAAGAAAAATTTACTTTCTTACCTTGTGTGTACCACAGTGGTCTCTAAAAATCCTCCTTGCTTTTATATTTAAAAGCAAAGTGTAGTAGCTTTCAAATGACTTCTTAGAATTTGACTACATTTAATTTGGGGGACCTTCTATGTAAGAGCATTTTACAAGTTAGATGAAAGGCAAGCAAAATAATTGTGGTGGAATCCAAATTAGTGGCATTCTGTGTTTGTGTGTGTGTGTATGTGTATATGTTGGACCTTCATTTAAGTTATGTTCTGAATACTGGAAGGTCCTTTTCTGTAAGAGGTTTTTCTCTTCNGTGTGTGTGTATACGTTGGACCTTCATTTAAGTTATGTTCTGAATACTGGAAGGTCCTTTTCTGNATGTGTATATGTTGGACCTTCATTTAAGTTATGTTCTGAATACTGGAAGGTCCTTTTCTGTAAGAGGTTTTTCTCTTCAGTGTTCAGTTTAAAATCCAAAGGAAATATATACCAGAGAACCATCATATTTTAATAATCCTATATTTTTGTGCCTTGTAAGTTTCCCCATTACTCTAAGATCTCTTCTTGTACAAAACAGAAAGGATGGACTGATTTGGTTCCTGTGTGTATTCTGGCTTTTTATGTTTTTTACAATTTAGACAAGTTAGCTGTATCTGCTGTGTTTCTTCCTACATTTGCACTATAATTGAGATTAGAGATCATGATAATTTTTCTTTTTTAAAGGATAAAATATGGAATAGCAGAGTAATTCTTAACTTTAAGATAATATATGTTTCAGCAGGAGGAACAGCAGCTTGATATAGTGAAGAGAGTATAGCCTTGGAATTAACACTGCTTTTCAGTTAAATTGTGGTTCTGACATTTTAGTTGTGTGACTTCTTGGAGTTTCAATTTCCTAATGTATAAAATGGGAGTGCATTACCTTTTAGGGGTGTGGTAATAACTAATCATGAAGTTTGAAATTTATGAAGTTCTTAATACTGATCCTGCTACTTTAAAGGGCCCTCAGCAAATGGGAGCTATGTAAAGAACAGGTCAAGCCGCTTTTAGAAAGAGACCCAGAATACAGTGGCTCACACAAAATATTAGTTCCTTTTTCTGGTCAGTAGGTAGTCCAGAATAAGTAGACAGCTTTATTCCATGGTAGTCATCCTCTGTCTTACTGCTCTTCCATCTTAAAGGGTACAGTGGCACCTCGGTTTTCGAACATCTCTGTGGACGAACGTTTCGGTTTAGGAACGCCATAAACCGGAAGGAAATGGTACCTCGGGAGTCCAGTGTGCCACACAGCTCCCGCTGAGGGCAAGATCCCGAGGCCTAGCTGTCGGCTGTTGATCCCTCGGTTTTCGAACGTTTCAGAACTCGGTCTTCTGGAATGGATTACATTAGAAAACTGAGGGACCACTGTATAGTCCTCTTGTCCAGCTGGCGTGGCTCAGCAGTTGAGCATCAACCTATGATCCAGGAGATCGAGGTTTGATTCCTGGTCAGGGCACATGCCCGGGTCGCAGCCTCAATCCTTAGTCGGGGGCATGCAGGAGGCAGCCCATCAATGATGACACTCTCATCATCTATGTTTCTAGCTCTGTCTCATCCTCTCCCTTCCTCTCTCTGAAATCAATAAAGATATATTTATTTATTTTTAAATGGTTAAAATAAAATAAAAACACGCAAAAGCATAGTCCTCTTCTCTATGCTTGGAACTGGCTCACCACCCCTATGAGAAAGTGAAGGGCAAGCAGCTTTTGCTTTTATAAATATCAGAAGTTGTATATGTATTTCCACCCATACCCTGCTGGTCTTGTCTAGCTGTAAGGGAGGCTAGTCAATGTTGTCTCCAGTTAAGCAGCCTATGGTCTGCTAAAACTCAGGTATTTTCTAACTAAAAGGAAAAAGGGGGAAATGGATACTAGGGGACAATGCTCTATTATACAAGTCTACTAATAATATTTTACTTTTATTAAGAAAAATTACACATGTGAAAGGGACCATAAGAAACTAGGAATTTAAGTTTATATTTTTGATTTAAATATTACAAAATTAATTGAAGGCTTTGGGCCTAATGGTATAGGTGAGACTCAAATTCTTATATGAACTTGAAATATTGAGTGTAATTGTCTCTTCCTGTATTATAGTTCAACATCATCTCAATTGGCCTTTATAGTTGGTTAATAGCCTTTCTGGTTAATGGAATTAATCAGATTGTGTTGTGAAATGTACAAAGCCAGGATATTGACTTTACTTCTATTATATTGGTTTTGATATAGCTTATAAATGCTTCTTTAAAATTTTAACTAAAGTAAGAAATAAACCTGTGTGCTTTTGAGCATCTTTCAAAGGGCATTAACTTCTGACTTACTGATCTATTATTTGAAAATTTGCTTTAATTTCTCAGTTGGTATCATGCTTAACTTAATGAGAGATCTACAATATTTAAGTAACTCCTTTTTTTTCATGTCAACTTGCTTTTTTTTTTAATGTGTACTAGGACCTGAAATCTCATGGGAGAGATGAGCATGAAGAAGCAGGGATTCTAACCCCAGTTGTGGAAAGAGAAGAAAATTTTGTTAAAGCTCATGGAATCCATGTTATAAAACAAGAGACTGAGAAGCTGGAAGATGATGGTAAGAGTTTAAGCAAGTGATGAGTCCACACCCCCTAATACCTTCCAGCTGAAGAGTGAATTGGATATTCAGAGCGAGAAAAGACTGATGCAGTGGTAGAGGACGTTCTTTCAGGAACCACAGACATTTGAATGAAGTTACTAAGGAAAGAAAAAATGAAAACTATTTCAGTAGCTCTTTGGGGTTAGGGAAAAAGGACCAAGTTAGCTCAGAAAATTCAGACGAGGGGAAAAATTCTTCGTGTATTAACTAAAGATTAAGATATAACTGAAGTACAGCCCTCTTTATTGGCTTGACCTTGAATCTCTAGTATGTAGATGAGCCCAGGCATTAAAATCAATGAATTGTAAGGTCCTGAATCTATTCCTATAATTTTTCTTTGGTTTTAAAATGTAAAGTAAATCTTTAACATGTTCAACCATTAGTGTGGAAGTTTAGTGAACCAACTCACATGGAAATTTAGGAATAAATTCATTTTCATCTGGAAAAAATGTCTTAAAGGTATAGGTGAGACTAATACTTTGACTGTATTATATTAGTTATATAGTAGCTACTTACAGAGAAATCCTTTTCCCCCTTAAAGTTAATGGAACATAAAATCATGACTAATTGTTTTAAATACCCCCCCCCACACACACACACAAGTACATGAAGTATATTGTTAATTTAAGTAACAATATAACAGTTGCATAGAAGCTATATTTACATCACTATTGGCTAATCCACAAAGGGAGATGCTTTTGCATGTTAAACTGTAGAATAGAAAATTAAGGTGTTATGTTCAATTCTGTCTAGGTACCAGGAAAAGGAATAGACTGTAACTTTTCAACTGATATTTTTATTGGAGTTGATAGGGAATGATCTCTGACATCACTGAGAATGTATGCCATTTACTAAAATTACCAAATGCATAGTGTTCTTACATATGTTAATATTTTTTTTATTTGGAAATAATTTCAGAATTATAGCAAAGCAGCAATAATAGCCAAAGAAATGTTTAAGTTGTATACCTCATGCATATACCCTAAAATACTTTCGGGTACATTTCTCCAAAATAAGGACAGTATAGTTTTCAACCTCAGTAAATTTGACTTTGATACAACCCATTTGTCTAGTCTGCTGTCTATATTAGTTTTGTAAGCTGACATAGTATTGTCCTTTATAGCATTTTCTTAGCTTTATAAAAAATACTTTGTGAGATTGATATTACTGATGAATACAGACCCATTTTTTAAAAAATAGAATGTTCCTCATTTGTAGTTTATCTGAAGCTTTCTCTTAATTAGATTCAGGTTAGTGCATCTTCCATCAGAATACTAAGTAAGTGATATGTCTGTATGACATCCAGAGGTTCAGTTTACTTTTAAATTTAAAATAAGTGTTTTTCCTGTTACCTTCCATTCGGTGTGCAGTTCAGTAAAAAAAAAAAGAGACCCTCTTCCCTACCTCTAAATTGAAGAACAAAATTTTTCTTTAAATGTGAATCTTAAGTGCAATATACATTAAGTATATTCTTTTTAAATCCCAGAATATCAAGTACAGAAATGAAGTTTATGGTGTCCATTTTCACTATACTGGTAATACCCAAATTAAATAAAGACTGCTGTTTTGTAAAAAATGAGAGTTGGTTTCCTGTTTAAAAATATTGACTGTTACAAATTTCAATGTTAAAATTTGATTTCATACAGAATGGGAAAGAGAAGAACCTGCAAAAAAGCAAAAAGTAAAGACATCTATGCTGGAGAGAGAAGAAAAGCCAGCATTGGAAACTGGAAGATACCAAGTAGAAGTGTACCAAATTCAAAATATTGATATATTGGCAGAAGAGGAAGAAGAAAGACTGAAGAGAGAACTGCTACTTGCTAAACTGAATGAAATCAGCAGAGAACAAGATTCTCAGAATCTCAAATGTCCTCCTCTGCCGTTGCTCCCTAATTTGGAATCTAAACTGCGCTCCCCAAAGAGAAGCCCCAAAACATACATGTTCTCTGAATCCTCAGAGAGATTAGTTAATGGGCATCACTTGCAAGACATCAGTCTTTCAACTTCAAAAGGAGATGGTCAGAATCCAGGGAGTAGCAGAAGCCCAGTCTCTCCAAATGAGCTTGTATTTGGCAGCTACGTGCCTTCATTTGCAAAAAATTCAAGGAAGTCAAGTCCACTTAGCGAAAAAAGTTGCCTTTTGGATTTCCAAAGAAACGGTATAGAGAAATTTGGCAAAGACAATGCAGATTTAACTACAAGAAAAGAGAAAAAAGCTAATCTGATGGAACAGCTATTTGGTGCCAGTGCCAGCAGCACCATTTCCTCTAAAAGCAGTCGCCAGAATTCTCTGGCTGCCAACAAAGGAGACTTTGACCCTTTAAATGTTCGCCCTGGGGACAGAAGCAGCAGGGGTAGACAACGTGAAGACGATGACTTTTTCCTCAGCGAAGGAAGAAGTTTTAATCCAAGCAGACACAGATTAAAAAAGGCAAACCAAAAAGCCACAGGACAAGCAGTTGATTCTGTAGAAGATGAAATTGAGGATGTAGGACTGAGATGACTGACTAGAGTATATATTTTTTTCCAATTGTAAATATTATATTTTAATACAGTATATATTATCAACATGTAGACTTTTTAATATTGAAAAGTCCTTATTAAAGAATGATTTTAATAGAAAAATACAGTAAAAATAAAAATAGAGTCACACCACGTAGCTAGTTTGCCAAGAATGAAGGAGGCTCTTTTGAGTGAAACCAAAAATAGAGATATATCTTACTTAGTGTTACTTTATTTACACATAGGTTTTACCTCTTAAATCAGCTCTATGGGAGGTTTCACTCCAGTGGAGTTCACTTTCTGTTTTTAATCCCTATTTATTTATTTGTACTTAGCTCAATGAGGATATGACCCAAATAGCCTTCCTGCTGATTACTGAACGTAAATTAAGGGTGAGAAACTCTGTGTTGGGAAGTGTAACTCCAGATGGGTGCTACTTTGAACCAGATCTTCAATGGGTCAGGGTGGAGGTCCCTTCCTTACAGGGCAAGGCTGAGCTACTTTTAAGTGGAAGCAGTCACCACATTGGGATTTCCTATCCTTTGGAAGGAACCAGAGTTAAGTGCTACTCATTTCTTAATTACAAGTCTCATTAAATTACCTACAACTGTGCTAACATACTGGTTGAATTCAGAAGACATTTATTTGTTTACATGGATAATTCTTCTGACACGGCTCCCAGTGTAATCAGTAATTCCTCTCCTTGTTCTTTTATACTTTGAGAATCTTCCAACATAGAAAGATTTTCAGTTTAATTTTGTTTCCAAAGTAACATAACTTGGAAATTTTAATATATACTATTAAGATTTGAACTTACTGTCAAACTAAAAAGACAATGATAGTGTAAGACTATTGTACTTACAGGACTAATTTTAAAGCAAACTTGGTTAAAGGTATTTTAGAAATGGGGTTTCTCCCTTGCAGTGTAGGGTGGATATTTTTCTGTTGAAATGCATTTGCATTAGTTTTCTGCTCTTTGTAGCTCACTTTTTCTGCAAAGGACTTTATGACCTTGGATTATGCTGGATATGATTGGTCTTTAAGTAGCAGTAATACAGTACCAACCAAGGAGAGTTTTCTGTTAACTGTTTAAATAGAGAGTGGTAGAAATAGTGTATCAGGGGAAGAATAAAAAAATGTAGGTTGGCACTTATTCTAAAGTGAGCTGGTTTTGTTTTTATTTTTCCCCTCAATATGATTTCTAATGGCAAGCACACATACTGATGAGGTCACAAGTGTTACTCTTTTGGGTTCTTATAAAATGCTTATTATTGAATATAATTTCATAACTATTTGACAAGACTTACCTGGTTACGTCTCTAATTAAAAGATGTACCAGCTATCTTTTAAATTGTGTTCCTGGGCATTGAATTTATTGGGAATTGAATCTCCCAAAAGTGCTAAATTATATTTTTTAATATTTTAATAGATTTTTTATATCTGATACAAATAAGAATTTAGTATTACAGATCATTCTAATATATGTAAACCACAATATTGTAATGCAGTTCTTGGTAAAATATTATGTAATGTTAATTTTGTTCATAGTTGCTAGTTTTTCTGCTAAAAGTATTCTCATATTTAGGTTGTTTTGTCTTATAAGGTTTTTAAAAAGCCTTTTGGTGAAGTTTTATATTCAGGTCATTTTAATTACTCTCTTACTTTTCTCAGCCTGATGTTTTCTAGGCTCTTTAACCAGATGCAACAAGACAGAATTATTAAATTTAAACCTAAAATTAAGTCATAGACTTAGAAGCATTATGGTGTAAAGCATTAAAATTGGAGATTAAAATGTACAGAACAGGTTTTTCTTAATGAGCAAACCTTAGAGAGTAAATCATTTTTTTCTAAATGTCAAGTTAAGTTATTTGTACTCAGAATGTTTACTAATAAAAGTTAAAAACACACTGTGACTCTTTGTTTGAATTAGGAAATATATAATGGAAACGGTTAATTTTTATTTTATTATTCATCTTTTTTTTTCTCTGTCCAGTATTTTTAGCTGAATTTGCCCTAAATCGGGTTAGACACTATTGCTAATCTTATCAGATAATTATAGTTTTAATCTTTTCACCCTTAACAGCTATCATAATGACATATATTGCTCATAATATAAAAAAGGTGGGGGTAAGGAGAATTAAATGAATCATAAACTTAATATATGGCTGACTTACTGGGTTTTTTAACTTCTTTTCTCCATCTCATATTCAGATATGAGATGGTATCCCTCATTGGGTGTTAGTTGAATATCTGCCTCATGAAAAGGGGATGGTAAATTTGTATTAGGGTAACAATATGGATTTTTTAGGATCAAAGAAGGTACCATAAATTATCAAGAAGGGATCTGCCTTTAAAGCTTTTTCCTTTCTACACAATAAATGCTCCTTTCACAAGGATGTCCCCTATTATATATCATTTGAAAGTGCTCTCCTTTTAGTAAAAAGCATGTATCCACTCATTATGAGTGCTTCCTGGGTGCACTGTGGTAGATGCCAGGAGAGTAAGACCTGTCCTCTGCCCTCAGAGTAGATGCAAAACGTGGTGAGCCATCCCTGTCCACCTGCCTTCCCTGAGTGACTTTGGGTTCCTCAGCTGTTAATGGTCGTAAATGAAAAACTTAGTTTAATGTTTGTCTGGGTGTCTGATATAAGCATTCAGTAAACATCAGCTATTATAGCTAATTACTCGTTTCTTTTAGGACATAATTTTGAAAATAAAGCATAGGCAGACTTCTGGTCAAGATGATGGAGTAGGTAAATGCTATCCTGCCTCCTCCCACGACACAGCTAAATTATGCAATAACCATCATTGAGAACCACCTGAAGACTAACTGAAGTCCTATAACTAAGGTTTTAAAGAAGCCACAACTCGAATAATAGGAGGGGCAGAGATACAAAATGGTCAGGTTCCATACCCATGGGGTGGTAATTAAGAAACAGGAGGAATATCTCCAGAGGTACTCCCTGAGGAGCAAGAGTTCCCAGCGCCACACCCACCACCCCAGCCCAAGGCACCAGTGCTGGGAAGAGGAGTCCTCATTAACATCTGGCTGTGAAAACCTGTAAGGATTGCATCCAAGTGAAAGGAAGGGCTGCTGGAGTCCCAGGCATCCCTCTTGAGGGCCTGCATACAGATTTACTCACAGCCTCACTGGCTCTGGGCTCCAATGTGGGGGAGCAGCTTGAACAGCAGGGACATATAGGGAGGAATTGAATTGACTGGTTTCATGGTGAGGGCCCAAAGGGCAGGGGTCAGGGTGGCTGTCTCGGGACAGAGGCGCTGGCAGATGCCATTGCTGCTTTTTTGAGCCTTCCCCCCACCTAACCAGGAGGTGCAGGTGGGTGCCAAATCTGAGCTCTCCATTAACTAATACTACCCTACTCAACTTACACACCCTACCAAACCACTTCCAGCAGCTTTTCCACACGAGTAGCCTGCTTCGACTCATGCTGTAGACTTTCCTAAAATCAAAGGTTCACAAACCCTAAACAAACAGCAGCTGACCATGGCATGTGCTCTGTACCTCTTGCTAAACAGCCCCAAGACTGGCACAAGGGGCAACCAGCTTTAACTGCCACTGTAAGTCCCATCAGGTGGCCTGAAGCCTGGCATTAGCTGCAGCTAGTGTTGCCCAGGTACACACCTTCAACTAAGCAGCCACCAATCCAACACAAAAGGCAGCTGGCCTTAAGTCACATTGTGCTGCCTACCAAAGGCCCCACACATGGCACTAGTGGCTGCTGGCTTCAGTTTGCAACATAGCTTCTCACAAGTGCCTCCAAGCCAAGCCCAAGAGGCAACCAACCAGATAACTTTGTAGCTCCTACGAGGCAGTCTCAAGTCAGGAACAAATGGCAGCTGACCTTGGCCTGCACCAAAGCCCCTCTCAAGAGCCTTCAGAACCAACACACCCAGTGGATGGCTTTAGATCACAGCAGACCACACTACCCAACTCCACAAATGACATATTCAAAGGGCAGACTGCACTGGCACCATAGCCCCACTAAACTGAGCCCTGCTTTGTGGGGTAAGCTCCCACACAACAGCTTGTCTGCTGTAGTCCCATCCACTCAGCCTGAGGGTCAATCCCACCCACTGATGTGCCAACAGCAGTCAAGGCTCAACTAGAGCAGGAGGACACAACCCACCTGAGGGATATTCCTGAATCACCTGGTTTAAGTGAACAAGGAGATTGTACCACTGAGCCTCACAGGACACCTACTAGTTAAAGCCACTTTGCCAAGACGAAGATGTAGCATATCTACCTAATACATAGAATCAAACACAGGGTGGCAGCCAAAATGAGGAGACAAAGTAATGTCCCAAATAAAAGAACAGGACAAAACTCAAGGAGAACTAAAGGAAACAGAGACAGCAATCTACCAGACAAAGTTAAAAACACTGGTTATATGGATGCTTATAATGAACTTAGGAAAAGAATAGATGAACTCAGTGAGAACCTTGACAAAGAGATAGAAACTGTAAAAAAGAACCAGTCAGAACTGAAGAACGTAACTGAAATGAACACAGCAGAGGGAATCAACTGCAGATTAGAGAAACAGAGGCTCGAATCAGCAATCTGGAAGACAGTGTAGAAGAAAATACCCAATTGAACAGCAAAAAGAGAGAAGAACTGAAAAAATGAGAATAGTTTAAGGGGACCTCTACGACAACATCAAGCATACCAACATATCAGAGTGGTGCCAGAAGAAGAAGAGACAGAACAAGGGATTGAAAACATTTTAAAAAATAATGACTGAAAACTTCTCTAACCTGGTGAAAGAAACAGACATACAAGTCCAGGAAGTGAAGTCCCAAACAAGAACAACCCAAAGAGGCCCACACCAGGACATACCATAATTAAAATGTCAAAGGTTAAAGACAAAAAGAATATTAAAAGTAGCAAGAGAAAAGCAGTTAGTTATATACACAGGAGCTCCCATAAGACTATCAGCAGATTTTTCAACAGAAAGAATTTGCAGGCAGAAGGAAGTGGCATGAATTATTCAAAGTGGTGAAAAGCAAAGACATACAACCAAGATTACTCTACCCAGCAATTCTATCATTTAGAATCGAAGGAGAGAGTTTCCCAGACAAGAAAAAGATAAAGGAGTTCATGACCACTAAGCTAGTGTTACAAGAAATGTTAAAGGGACTTCTTTAAGTAGAAAAGATTAAAAAATATGAATAAATAAAATCAGAAATGAAAAAGAAGTGACAGCTGACACCACAGAAATGCAAAAGATTATAAGGAAATAATAAAAAACAATTATATGCCCAAAATTGGAAAACCTGGAAAAAATGGAAAAATTCTTAGAAACATACGATTTTCCAAGGCTGAATCAGAAAGAAACAGATAATCCAAACAGACCAATAAGTACTAGCAAAATCAAATCAGTAATCAAAATACTTCTAACAAACAAAAGCCTGGATTATATGGCTTCACAGGTGAATTTTACCAAACATTGAAAGATTAATACCTATGCTTCTCAAACTGGTAAAAAGAATGAAGAGGAGAGAAGGCTCCCATGTGTACTTTATAAGGTCAGCATCACCCTACTACCAAACCAAACAAAGACACTACAAAAAAAGAAAAGTATGTGACAATATTCCTGATGAACATATGTGCAAATATTTTCAAAATATTAGCAAACCAAATTCACCAATAAATTTAAAAGATCATACACCACGGTCAATTGGGATTTATTCCAAGGATTTCAGGTTGGTTCAGTATCTGCAAATCAATTAGCTTGATACACCACATAAAGAAAATGAAGGTTAAAAATCATGTGATCATACCAATAGATGCAAAAAAAATATTTGACGAAATCTAAAACCCTTTTATGATTAAAAAAATACTCTCAGCGAAGTGGAATAGAGGGAACATACCTCACAATAATGAAGGCATATATGACAAACCCCACAGGTAACATCATACAAAGTGAAAAGCTGAAAGTTTTTTCTTCAAGATCAGGAATAAGACAAAGATGTCCACTTTCACCACCCTTATTCAACATAGGTTTGGAAGTCTTAGCCACAGCAATCCAACAAGAAAAGAAATGAAAGGCTTCCAAATTGGAAAGGAAAAAGTAAAACTGTCATTATTTGCTGATGACATGATACTCTATATATAGAACCCTAAAGATTCCACCAAAAAACTAGAACAGATAAATGAATTCAGTAAAGTAGCAGGATACAAAATAAGTATCCAGAAATCAGTTGCATTTTTACACACCAATAATAAACTATCAGAAAGGGAAACTAAGAAAACAATCCCATTAACAGTTGCATCAAAAAGAATAAAATGCCTAGGAATAAATTTAACCAAGGAGTTAAAAGACCTGTACTGGGAAAAGTATAAGACACTGAAGAAAGAAACTGAAGCAGATACAAATAGATGGAAGACTCATGGAGAAGCAGAGTTCACATCATTAAAATATCATTATATTCAAGCAATCCCTATAAAAATACCTGGTATTTTTCACAGGACTAGAACAAATAATCCTAAAATTTATATGAAACTACAGAAGACCCCAAATAACCAAAAGAATCCTAAAAAAGAAGAACACAGTTGGAGGTATTATGCTACCTGATATCAAACTATACTACAAGACTATAGTAATCAAAACAGCATAGTACTGATATTAAAACAGACATATAGAGCAAAGGAGCAGAACAGAGAGCCCAGAAATAAACCCAGGCCTCTATGGTCAATCTATGACAAAGAAGGCAAGAATATACAATGGGGCAAAGACAATCTCTTCAATAAATGGTGCTGGGAAAAGTGAACAGATACATGCAAAAAAATGAAACCAGACCACTTTCTTGCATCATATACAAAAATAAATTCAAAATTGATTGATGATTTAAATGTAATACCCCAAACCATAAAATCTTAGAAGAAAAT